TTAACATATTTACTGAACAATACTATGACACCAAAATGAAACATAAATGCTAAAAATTCCTTTAGATGACATTCTTTCCTCAACCAGCAACACTAACAGAATCATAACTCACTTAACGACCAAAACAGAAACCATAACAATGGTTCATTATGCGGAAATTACATTGAATGAATCTAATTTTCCCATAAAATCCCATGTTGTAACTTGAGATGGAAACCATGATGGTAATTTCCCATATGTAATTAGTTTTTCAAATAAAGCAAATCTATTTTCCCATAAAGTCCTACTAGATATGGGTCCACTGTTCAGGAGGCATAGTGGTATTATACATCAGTTTATTGAGTGTATAACACAAAAAAAAATGAAAAACTATGAAAAAATTATCAAAATAGCCAGAGAAACATCACATCAATTTTTTGTTATTGCTGGGATGAAGGGTTGTGACAGTTCCTAGGCTGATTTAGTAGGGCTGATGGATTGCAAATCTGATGGCTCTTAGGCCGACTATTGTTGGTTAATGAGTTGCAATGGCTCTTCAAGCCCTCTTCTCAAATTCCTTCCTTCCTCCTCCATTCAGCAATAATCACCAGTACCAATTTTATAACAGCAGCACTGTGTCATGCATGTTCGTTTGTTGGTTTCACACTCATTCTGATAAGGTAATCACACTGAATTTTCACTGACTTGGTGTATGACACTGGTAATAAAAATGAATACAGGATTTCATTTAAATCTCATTCAAATTCCTAGGTCCAAATAAATTCTTTTGCTTCAGCTTTCTTTATGACAGTCATCAGAAGCCACACCAGAATGATATTTAACACGATATTGTGAAAAATTTAAGTGAGCCTAGATTAATCTCGAAGGATTTCAAATTCATTAATGAATTTTTATGAAAATGTAAGATTACCACACATATTCCATAAGGGTTATAAATAAAAAATAAATGAAGGATTGACTATCAATGGAGGAAAAAATAGAAGACAGCATTCAGTCATATTTCCCTCATGCTGGGTCGATTTTCTCTTGACGTGTCACATGACACTCCACAAGAAAATGAATAATTTTACTGAGAAGTCTCAATGTATTTCTCATGCCCAAATCTCTCTCCTTTTTAAATAAATTTTTTATGTCAATATATACCAGTTCGAGCAATAATTACTGTAAAAAATTAAGCAGTGTTCATTTTCTGTTCAATTGGTGTATGACACCTGAAATAAAAATGAACCATAGTATTTCATTCTAAATAGTCTCATCCAAAATCCTATGCCCGTATCTCATGTCCTTGGGGGATAGTTTTTATGACAGTCATTACAAATAGTGGAAAAAAATTAAAATAAACCAATGATAATATCCTACATTTCACATTAAGTGATGAATTTTTATGAAGAAATACAAGCTTCTTCTTTCAACAAACCGGCCATATCCTACCGAAGCAGGGTGGCCCAAAATGAAAAATGAAAGTTTCTTTTTTTTTAACTTCAGTAATGTATATAGGAGAAGGGGTTACTAGCCTCTTACTCCTGGCATTTTAGTCTCCTCTTACGACACATGTGACTTACAGAGGAAGAATTCTGTTCCACTTCCTGATGGAGAAAATACAAGCTTACCACACATAATATGGTCATATACAAAAAAAATGAAACCGATCAAAAATCAAGAGGGGGGGAAAAATATGTGAAATTCAGTCTTGATTCCGCTGGCTATGTCTATTTACCCTAACTTGGTGCATTGCACTTAAAAACGAAAACCAACTGTAGGATTTTGTTCAAAATAGCCTCATTTAATTTCTCACACCAAAATCTCTGTTCTTTTTAAAGTCAGTATAATCTAGATTAGGGTAATATTTAATGAAACAGTGAAAAAATAGTGAGACTATGATAATATCTACATGAATCAAGGCAGGAAATTTGGGTCCAGTAAATCTGGTCATTAAACAAAACTAGTTGGTTGTTACACAGAGAAAGGGTCCTATGTTTTTGATATTCCACTAAGCGAGCTTTCATTAAGCAATGCTCATTATAATTACGAAACCTAAGAATCCCTCTATTAGTGATATGTCGATATATCTATGAGGGTATTCACATCTGGAGGAGGATAGTAGTGCCAGTAATTTGAAGGATGTATGAGAATGTTATAACTTGTTGGCTCATGTGAATTATAATGTTTGTAAGCTTCTAGAAAGACAACTAGAAAATGAGTAATGGTTGATTTTTTACTTATATGAATCACCTAGTGTTGGTAGGAAATGTCAGAATTACTGAAGAAAAAGTGCACATTAGGTCCCTTACAGTAAAAAAGCTCTTTCACATTTTTCAAAAAAATTAAATGAAAACGCATTTAAAAAATGCTCCTTCACAGACACTTACAACTCTTTCTTGTAATACTCGCTCTAATCCTTGAGCTCCATCTGTGAAACAGTGTAGTGAGAGAGCTATAAATTCCCCAAGTGCTCGTCGAACTAAAGACACCAATGATGGCCCAAAGGTTTCTGCATCAGCTGTTAGGAAAGAGAAATTGCATCAAATTAATTAATATATACTATATACACTTGTTTAATAAATGTACGAGAGGGGAAGGTACCTAGGGATTGACAGAGAGCATGTATACTTCATTTATATAAAGGGAAGGGGGACAAAACAGAATGTAAAAATTATTGGGGAATAAGTTTACTGAGTATACCAGGAAAAGTGTATGGTAGGGTTCTTACTGAAAGAATTAGAGGTAAGACAGAGAGAAGGATTGCAGATGAGCAAGGAGGCCTTAGAGTGGGTAGGGGATGTGTAGAACAAGTGTTTACCTTGAAGCATGTATGAGAACAGTATTTAGATAAAGGTAGGGAAGTTTTTATTGCAATTATGGACTTAGAAAAGGCACATGATAGTGGATAGGGGAGCATTGTGGCAGATGTTGCAAGTACGTATATGGAATAGGTAGTAAGTTACTAAATGCTGTAAAGTGTTTTTATGAAGATGATGGAGTGTGAGCAGGGTAATATTTAGTGAAGGGATTCAGGGAAACCGGTTATTTTCATATAGTCGGACTTGAGTCCTGGAAATGGGAAGTACAATGCCTGCACTTTAAAGGAGTGGTTTGGGATATTGGCAGTTTGGAGGGATATGTTGTGTATCTTTATACGTATATGCTTCTAAACTGTTGTATTCTGAGCACCTCTGCAAAAGCAGTGATAATGTGTGAGTGTGGTGAAAGTGTTGAATGATGATGAAAGTATTTTCTTTTTGGGGATTTTCTTTCTTTTTTGGGTCACCCTGCCTCGGTGGGAGACGACCGACTTGTTGAAAAAAAAAAAAAAAGTGAGGCTCAGGTTAGGGTGTGTAGAAGAGAGGGAGACTACTTCCCGGTAAAAGTAGGTCTTAGACAGGGATGTGTAATGTCACCATGGTTGTTTAATATATTTATAGATGGGGTTGTAAAAGAAGTAAATGCTAGGGTGTTGGGGAGAGGGGTGGAATTAAATTATGGGGAATCAAATACACAATGGTAGTTGACACAGCTACTTTTTGCTGATGATACTGTGCTTATGGGAGATTCTAAAGAAAAGTTGCAACGGTTAGTAGACAAGTTTCGGAGGGTGTGTAAAGGTATAAAGTTAAAAGTGAACATAGAAAAGAGTAAGGTGATGAGGGTATCAAATGATTTAGATAAAGAAAAATTGGATATCACATTGGAGAGGAGGAGTATGGAAGAAGTGAATGTTTTCAGATATTTGGGAGTTGACGTGTTAGCAGATGGGTTTATTAAGGCCGAGGTTAACCATAGAATTGATGAGGGAAAAAAAAAGGTGAATGGTGCACTGAGGTATATGTGGAGACAAAAAACGTTATCAATGGACGCAAAAAAGGGAATGTATGAAAGTATAGTGGTACCAACACTCTTATATGGGTGTGAAGTTTGGGTTGTAAATGCTGCAGTGAGGAGGCAGATGGAGGCAGTGGAGATGTCCTGTCTAAGGGCAATGTGTGGTGTAAATATTATGCAGAAAATTCGAGTGTGGAAATCAGAAGGTGTGGAGTTAATACAGTGGACCCCTGGTTATCAGCCGGTTCTGTTATCGGCCAACTCGGTTATCGGCCGGTTTTTTGGCGCCCGGCTATTGGCCGTTTGGGATGCATCCATCTGCTGGCTGGGGCCACTTGCACGTCAGTTTGGCTTTGTCTCTCAGTGGCTGAGGAAGCGTCTGCTCATGTATCCAAACATTTCTCTTGTTTTCCATTGTTTTTAGTTTTTGTTTTTGCAGTGCAACTGAAATAAGCAACCATGGCTCCAAAGAAAGTTCCTCTGGTAAAGAAACACCATGGAATTTAAGCGTGAAGTGATAGAAAAGTTTGAGAGTGGTATGAAGATGGTGGAACTTGCCAGGATGTACAGCAAGAATAAATCAACAATCACATCCATCCTGGCAAAGAAAGAACAAATCAAAGATGCTAATGTTGCAAAAGGAGTAACTTCTCTAACTAAACAAAGGCACCAATAATGTAAGAGATGGAAAAGTTATTATTATTGTTGATTAAGGAAAAAGAATTAGTGAGAGAGTGTTGTGGAGTCTATTTGTAAGAAGGCAAGGCAGTTGCATGAGGATCTTGCAAAGAAAATGCCTGGAACAAGTGCTGCTGTTTGTGAATTTATGGCCAGCAAAGGATGGTTTTATAAATTTAAGAAGCGTAGTGGCATACACAGTGTTGTAAGGCATGGCAAGGCAGCAAGTTCTGACAAATGTGCGGCTGAAAAATTTGTGCAGGAATTACAGGGGTACATAGAGGCTGAATGATTCAAACCCCAGCAAGTGTTCGATTGTGACAAAACAAGCCTGTTTTGGAAGAAAATGCCAAACAGGACCTACATTACCCAGGAGGAAAAGGCACTGCCAGGATACAAGCCTATGAAAGACAGGTTTACTCTTTTGCTGTGTGCTAATGCTAGTGGGGATTTCAAAGTGAATCACTCAGAAAATCCCAGTGTTCAAGAAAAACAATGTCATGAAGACTAGATTGTGTGATGTGGAAAGCTAATCATAAGGCATGGGTCACAAGGCAAATTTTCGGAGTGGGTTAATGATGTGTTTGGCCCAAGTGTGAAAAAATACCTCCTGGAAAAGAAATTGCCATTCAATTGCCTCCTGTTACTGGACAATGCTCCTGCACATCCTCCAGACTTGCAAGACCAAGTGTTTAGGGACTTCAGTTTCATCACAGTGAAGTTCTTGCCTCCTAATACCACTCCTCTCCTACAGCCCATGGACCAGCAGGTCATTTCTACCTTCAAAAAACTCTACACAAAAGCAGTGTTTCAAAAGTGCTTTGTAGTGATGTCGGACACTCAGCTGACCCTAAGAGTGTTCTGGAGGAATCACTTCACAATCCTCCATTGCATAAACCTTATAGGTAAGGCTTGGGAGGGAGTGACTTCCAGGACTTCGAACTCTGCTTGGAGAAAATTGTGGCCAGATTATATCCAAAAGGGATTTTGAAGGGTTTGAGGCTGACCCTGACCCTGCCGACTCCATGGACTCTATTGTGGCACTGGGGAAGTCCCTGGGGTTGGAGGTGAGTGGCGAGGATGTGGAAGAGTTGGTGGAGGACCGCAGGGAAGAGCTAACCACTGAAGAGCTGCAAGAGCTTCAACTTGAACAGCAACAGACTGCAGCTGAGGAACTTGCTTCAGAGGAGGAGGAAGAGGGAGTAAAGGATGTGCCTTCTTCAGAGATTAAAGAGGTATGCGCAATGTGGACTAGGGTGCAAGCTTTTGTAGAGAAACACCACCCTGACAAAGCTGAAACAAGCCATATCTGCAACATGTTTAGTGACAAAAGCCTGTCCCACTTCAGGAAAATCTTAGAGACCCCAGAAACACAGCACTCTGGACAGTTATTTTGTGAGACAGGGGTCCAGTGACTCTCAAGCTGGTCCTAGTGGCATTGGCCCTTTCAGGGTCGAGAAGCCCTCTCCTAAACTTCTTCTCAAGGTCGAAAATTTTTTGAAAAAATAAAAATAAAAATTATTTCTTTTACTTATGAAATGATAGAGAATCTTTTCCCGATCATAATGACACCAAAAGTTTGAAATTTGATGGAAAACTTATGGAATTATGCTCTCGCGAAGTTAGCAGTCTCGACGATGTTTATGCATTGGTGATTTCGTCCACTTTGAGCCCTATTTTCGGCCAATTCCAATGCACCAGTCGACAAAAATCGTAACTATTTCATTAGAACTACTTTTGTTCAATTGAATGAGTACAAGAAACCAGCCAATTACTGATTTCAACTATCCAATACAGTGGGCACAAATTGGCAATTTTGCCAATTTCACACAAAATTCAAAAGATGCCAGTTTCAAAATAGGGTCCAGAATAAACAAGACACACATTCCTGGCACTAAAATAACACTTTCTCTGTTCATTAGTTATGTCCCCAGGCCCCTCTTACAATTCTTTTGCTTTTCACTTTGAACCTTTATTCTCACAAAAAAATAGAATATTTACTGTTATGCAGACTACTGCATTAGTGTAAAAATGGCATAAATAATATCAGCGCACTTGTGAAAGAATATTAGACTCGCCAGTTGACGCGTATTGGATGATTGGCATGATTTGTTTACTTTTGAACATTGGCAAAAATCGAACATTTCTGCTACTTTGAGCTCAATTTCAAGGTACTTTTCATTATGAAACCAATCATCTCAATTTCTGTAATGTGTCTTCCATTCTATAAAATGACACCAAGAAAATGAGAATACAACCATAAATACCAAACGAAAATACAGTGGTCCCTCGTTTTTCGTAATTAATCTGTTCCTGGAGGTGCTACTATTATCGAAATCTACGATTTTCGAATCAATTTTCCCCATAAGAAATAATGTAAATACAATTAATCCGTTCCTGACACCCAGAAGTATCAACAAAATTTTTTTTTTATCTTAAAGATAGATTTACATGCACAAAAGAATGAACATTCAACATGATAGTTACATTTATTGAAGGCTGTTGTTGATGAATGGAAGACAGGGAGGAGGAGAGAGGGAAGAGAGGTTATTGTTTGGAAGGGGAATCCCCCTCCATAAGGAGGATAGGTTGGATAAATACATGAGTGTGAGGGGTTGGATTTGAGTGGGACTTGCATATCAGAGCTTATTTCTTGGGTAGCATTGAAAATTGGGTTGGGCAAATGTTTTGTTAGTGGGATGAATTGTAAAGGACCTGCCTAGTATGGGCAAACAGGCCTGCTGCAGTGTTCCTCCATTCTTATGTTTCTTATGAATCCATCCAATTATTTCCATCCAAGAAATAAGCTCTGACAACTCTATCCACTCAAATCCAACCCCTCTCACTCATATATTTATCCAACCTAAATTTGAAACTACCCAAAGTCCTAACCTCAATAACCCAACTAGGTAGACTGTTCCACTCATCAACTACCCTATTTCCAAACCAATACTTTCCTATGTCCTTTCTAAATCTAAACTTGTCTAATTTAAATCCAATACT